AGAATATCACAATTTGGTTCACACTCCTCGTGGGATCGACCCTTACTTGCCACTACTACTAGTTAGTAGAGGTTAGTTAAGGAAAATATAAATTATAATTTTGCCGCGTTGAGACGCGCGGTCAGTACTCTTTGTACCAGTCCGAATAGCCATGGAGTTTAAAACACTCCTTCTGCTCATGTCCTGTGTAGCCACAATGCTCACAGGTAAGCTTAGCTCTTTCTTCTTTAGATCTCCTCAGTGGTGTGCCAGCTGGTTTTCCAAAATTCATACCCTGACCTTTAGCTTTCCACACAGGTCCCTTAGGCTTGTGCACAAAATCCTTTTGCTGTCTCACAACCATGGCAGCTGTATCTGTTGAGTCAGGATACATAACATGCACACTTCTCTTTCTTTCTTCTTGTAAAATGAGTGAATATGCCTTATTTACGTTAGGTAGCTGATCCATAAGCAAAATCTGGCTACTCACTGAATCGTAAGACTCATTTAATCCCATAAGAAACTGCATCAGCTTGTTTCTAGAATCCATTTCCAGTAATTCCTTCGATTTAGGGCAGGCACAAAGAGGTAATGGTGCCAAGGACGAACACTCATCCCATAGCCTATTCAACTTCGTAAAATATAAGGTAACTAAAGAAGTTCCTTGCTTAATGTTTGCGATTTCCTTTTGAAGACTGAACAGTAAGGGCGCATTAGATTCACCAAATCTCTGATTGATAATTTCCCACAACTGACAAGCAGAATCGACATATAGAAAACCTTCGACTATTTCTGGAGATATAGAATTTAAGAGCCAAGAGATTACCGTGTAATCAACCTTTTTCCAACTGATATAATCATCATCAGTCTCCGACGGAGCTGCGAGTTTGCCATTGATGAACTCCAGCTTGTTTTTCGCTCCCAGCGATATCAAAACTACTCGACGCCATGAAAGGAAGTTACTCTCGTTGAGTTGAACTGAAAGCAGGTGCAATCCAGGATGATCGGAGGTCTGCAAGTGCATCGGATCATCGTGTGAGACTGCAATCGTCTCTCCGTGAGCTCGCGTCGCCATGAAAATCGAGTGAATCAATGAAAATCAAAAAGCTCTGGATACCATGTACAAGACGAAGAACACAGAAAATTTGGGGGAAAATTATCCCTGCTGTTTCATTTTCTCATATTAATCAATTGAGTAAAATACAGTATTTTGGGTTTTTATAGTGAACCAAAAAAGAAAGCCACCAGTGTTGACTGAGTGGTTGACTAAGATAAAGCAACTAAAAAACAACTAAGAAAAGAACACCTATACATTCTACAGAGTCGGCCGAGCAAACTGCCTGGTCGAGTGGAATCCAAACAGAATGGTCGTGGTCGAACATTACAGGAGTAAGAATCTCTGATCCGCAAGCCAATGTTAAAGGGATTTTGGTACATGGAGAACAGGTCGAGCCAAAACCATTGGATAGCCTGGTCGAAACTCGATATGTAGCAACAAATGGTCGTCCGATCGACCAAAACTCAGACTCGTAGCAATTAGCGCTGCACCTCAAATCAACCTAGAGTTGGTCAAACCCTCAAAGATAAGAAGGAATCTCAAGAATTGAAGCTTCATGAGAAACACCACGTGGCACCACTTCATTGGTCCACGCCTCATAATTGTCTATTGCACACCTCCTAGTATGTGTTGTACGATCAGACAATTGGGGCAGTCAGCTCAGCACATCCCGGCAGTCTTCCAGAATCAAGTACCTCATCGCTATAATTAGGGATGAGATGCGTTATTTTCAAGCATTACATTCATATTAATCCATATTCTTGCGAGTTCATCATATTCTACACATTACTCATTTAAGTAATGAGACTCTTCAACAGTAACTCCTCCAATATGAACGTTTTTGCAGGTCGAAACCGTCCAACGGATAAGAGAGCGTGCGAGCAAACCGATCCCCCCCGTACATTTTTTGGGAAGTTATCCTCCTAGTTTTCACTAATTAAGAAAACAAAAGTGGCCGAACC